GCGCCCTTGTGATGTAGGCGCCGCTCATTGGCGGGGGCGGCGGCGCCTCAGCCTATCAGAATGGAAGGCTCCAGGGTTGGTTCTGCGTCCAGTGACGCTCGGTGATGCTCAGGGTTAGAGTCTAGCGGACTTGTCCTGTTGATTGTTTTGTTTGTCTGTTTTGAAGAACAAAGGACAACTTAGGGGAGAGGCCATCATTCTGGCTGCCATACAAAAGCACTACTTCACTTTTTCTTCCTCTTCCTTTTCCTCCTTCTCCAGCTTCTCTTCCCTTTTTCCCTCCAACTCTTCCTCCTTTCTTATTTTCTCCTCTTCCTCCTTCCTACCTCTCCTTTTTCTCCCCTTCTGCCGCTGCTGCTCTGCCTTCTCCTCACAGCTGTGTAGATCCAGCCAGTCTTGAACTCACAGTCATGCCCTGCTGCCTCTCCATCCCGCGCTGTGGATTTACAAATGTGTTTCACCAAGGCCGACTTTTAAAAAAGGGGTTTTGTGCCCTGCCCCAAGTCAGCTTTCCTTTAGCCAGGTAAGAGGATAGGAAAATTGACAGAAGTGACTTTTGTCTGACTCTGAAGGACAGTGGTTTATTAAAAACTGAGGTTCTCAAATGTTTTTGGCTTCAGGACCCTTTGTTCTAATTTCTATGACTTAGTTCCAAGATCTTAGATCTTAGATCACAAGAAAGTAAAGCAATATCTGTTAGCTGCAGTCTAATATAAATCATGTTCTATGAGGAAATAACTTCTTCAAAAACTCAGAAAGGTGGGATATGTTTATATTCTTTAAATAACTTCAGCATTGGGCTTAATAAAGCTGGATTCTCCTGCTTCTGTATTCAATCTGCTGTGATCTCACACATGGAGTAACCTTTAGAAAACTCCACCACATGCTTATGAGGAAAAAAAAAATCTTTAAAAAGCCAATATCTCCGTGGATGGAAATAGTCTTGACATTCCCTTGAAAAGTTCCCAGGGTTCCCTAGCTAATACTTGGAGAGCCATTGTTGTCCTGAACAAAATAATTAGAACTTGTGGACTGTTTTGTAGCCCTCTAGGTGAGATGTTCTTGTTTCCACTAACTGTGGTATCATGACTATGAGTTTCCTTCTGTCCTTGCTTAACACTTGTGTTGTCTCACTTCCTTGTGTGTGTGATTTTTTTGAACACTGACTTTTGAACATCTGACTTGATCAGTTGTGAGGCAGCATATGTCTTTAAAGGTTACTTGGTCCTAAGGGGAAATGATTAACCAGTGAACTTCTGAGGATTCTATCGTGAAGGGCACTAGGTCTAACCAGTAGCACTAGGGCACCAGAAAAATCATTGGAGTTCATGTCACACCCAGTGACTGAACTTGAACCTACCTGTAGGACTGGCAATTGGTAATAAAATTGTGATAGAAACCTGATTAGGAGGAAAGGGCAGGTGGATTAACTACCCAGAAGAGATAGAGAGACGAAATAATCTTCAAAAGGTGACCCAAGGTCTAAGGAAGGGCAAGGCTAAAGGATTTGAGTTTTCTTGTGGGCCCAATGAAGCTGTTGACCATGGCACCAGAAGCAGTGATGGTATGGGATGAGGGGCAAACTGATAGAGTGAGTTGGTAGGACCACCTAGGGTCTGCAGCTCTGGAGTAGGATCGTGGCAGCTGGGTCTGAGAGACTGAGCACTTGACTTAAGTATTAGTAAAGGCAGATGACGTCTGTACAAAGACAGTTCCTGAATGCATGGCTGTGAACTGGCACCTGGGCTGAGATAGTGATTCCGAACCTGCAAGCCTATCTACGAGGAATGTATCCGTTTAGACCTTGTCTAGCTTACAGACCGCTGTGTGAACTTCGAGACGATGAGAGACAGGATAGAGAAAATTGCTGCAGAGATTTGAGGAAAGCTGCCTTTTCCCTCTAGAAGGTCCTGAGCTCATCCGAAGGAGGATGGCAAGCTTGTGTGCTTTGTTTGGCGTGAATCTCCATTATTCCCTCAAAGGAGCTAGGTGTCCCACCAGTGGGAATATTAACTCTAGCTCCAGCTTAAAAACAAATTCCCTTTGAAAAGTGGGGCTTTTCAAAGACACCACATTCTTCAAGGGCCTCCAAAGCAGGACCACGTTGCCGCTGTGTTCTGTTTTCTCAGCCTGCAGAGCACATCTTGCTGTGGCCTGTAATTGTTTGACACCTCTCTGACCCCTGGACCCCTCCTCACAGGCACTGGCCATTGGTCATTTGAGTTTTGGCTCTGGTACTAACATAGAATCCACATGTTCCATGCATGTTGCCGAAGGAAGGGGTTTGAAATATATTTGATCTGCTCATGCTCCAGAACAGACTTATCATTGGATTGCTTTGAAGTGATACTCCTTGTTGGTAATAAGAAATATAGATTGCCTTGCATTTAGATCCGTGAGCAGTGTTCCCTGGCCAAGGGTAGGGTTGGGGCCCAAACCATTCAGGTCCATAGTGGCTGCAAGATGCTCTGAAGCAGTACACTGTCTGCCTTGCATGTGGCCTTGGGTTCCATCTCTGGCACCATTTAAATGGAAAAGCTCAAGGTTCTGAGTAAGGACAGGAACAGAGCCATAAAAGCATTGTGTTTATGGGTTCTTTGCTCCACATAAGCTGCAGGTGAGTTCTCACGAAATGGGGCTTCCAAGGGTTACTGATCCTTAAGTTTAACTTGGATTGTGAGCTTTGGGATTTCAGTTAAATGTGCAGAAAAAAAAGGATTGCTACATCTTTTCTGCTTACTGAGAATTAAGAGCGATGGAATGATTGAGCATGGGGAAAGAGTTCAAAGTGCATATGTGGACCAGTTTTGTATGTGTGTGCGCGTGCGTGTGTGTGCAAAAACACAAGCAAAACTGGGACTCTGCTGAGGAAAGGTGAAGGCCCAGGAAAAAGAGACTTTAAGTGCTCGAATGAGAGGTTTCCTGCCAGCTGTATATTCTAGAACACCAGTGCTTTAAAGTTAAATTGTTTGTCCTTGTTATTCCCAGCACACCCCCATGCATGAAGGACCAGTACTGTGGTCAGTATTGAGATCTGTGCTTCCTTCCTCGGACTGTATAAGGCATCAGTGGATCCCCAGGAATGGTACAAGGCTGGTTCTGCTCACACTCTGTTGCCCACTTCAGGAGGCATTTCTGTTCAACAGCTCTTCCCTTCATCTTGGAGGGCCCCAGATAGTGCTGTTTGAACACTTCCTTGGACTCAAAGTCCTCTCTTTTGCCCTTTTCCCATTCATCATGGTGGGGTCATGACCTTGAGGATCACAGTTTTTCATTCAACTTCTTACTAGGGCCTGTGTCTTAGCTCTGCCAAGGACCCTGGCAAATGTCTTTGCTTCTGTTGGCCTCAGAATGTGTGCAAAATGAGGGAAATCCTTCTGCTTTTATGTATTGTGATTTTTCTGTTTGGAATATGCTTTCTTTCTGTTTTTTCTGAGGGAACGGAGTTCTGCTCTTGGAGAAGACTCGTATGACTTTGTCTTTGTCTTTTTCTACCCCAGCCTGGCTCCATTCATTTTCTCTCTCAGTGGACCACATTTATTAGCTTGAGCTCTGGATCTATTTCTCTTGATAGATCCTGAGTCCTGGAAAGGCAGGACACTTGAGACTCAGCTGGTCTTAGCTGCAGTTTTGAGACCCAGCATTTTACTAGATTCATTCAGTATGAAGTAAAAACAGCCAGTAAAGGAGCTAGCTCAGTTAGTAAAGTGTCCTGAAGCCGGATAAAAAGTCTGGACATGGTGGGGTATGCTTATAGTCCCAGTGCTAGGGAACCAGAGAAATGAAACTTCCTTGGCTCAGTGGTCTCCCAGTTTAGCCTAATTGGAAGGGTCTACGCCAATGAAAGAGCCCATCTCAACACAAAATGTATGGCCTCTGAGAGATGACACTCAAAGTTACCCTCCAGACTAGATACCACATACACAGACACACTCAGACAGACAGGCACACGCTCATGCGCATGCGCACATTTTAAAAAGTGATGGAAGTGGTTAAGAGGAGCCCCGAGTGAAGTGGGGGGCTTTCTTAGGGCTTTTGTGGATAAAAGTGGAGCTTCAGCCCTCCTCAGTTTCTTCCTTTCCAAAAGACCTTCTGAGTAATTTTCAGTTTTATTCTTGGGAAGGTGCCATGCTTTGACACTTCATGGTAACCCTTTCAGACTTATGAATAAATGCTAATTTAATGAATCCAAAGTGGCCAGAGATGGTTTGCTCGCTATAGTCACTCAAAGACATGATTTGAGGGAGAAATTGCAGTCATTTCAAAAGTTGTTATCTTCTAAGGAACCCCGTAAAGCTCCACCCTCATCTTGAAAAGCAAATGTTCTATGGTCTCTGCCAGTCAATCGACAGCTTTAGTCATGGGGTATGGTCAAACATTAACTGGTTACACAAATTTATTGTCATGAACCATGAGCAGGCCTGAATAGATCTTTTGAGAGTACCGGAGGGAGAGGTACCATGACTGTGGCGTGCTGGAGCTCCCATTTGCCTCTGCTTCTTGTGGGCCTTCTGTTGTGTGTGCTTGGCCCCTCTGTGTCCCATGCTGGGAAGCTGTTATTGCTCCCTATGGATGGCAGCCACTGGCTCAGCATGCTTGGAGTTCTTCAGCAGCTCCAGCAGAAGGGACACGAGGTAGTGGTCATAGCACCTGAAGCCTCAGTGTACATAAAAGAAGAATCCTTTTACACTCTAAAGAAGTACCCTGTGCCTTTCAAGAAGGAAGACGTGATAGCCTCTTTTGTGGAACTTGGGCTTAGTGCCTTTGAGGAAGACCCTTTCCTGCTGCGTTTGATTAAAACATACAAGAAAGTCAAAAGGGACTCTGCGATGCTCCTGTCCGGCTGCTCGTACCTACTGCACAATGCCGAGTTCATGGCCTCTCTGGAAGAAAGCCACTTTGACGTTCTGCTAACAGACCCCTTCCTTCCTTGTGGTCCCATTGTGGCCCAGTTTCTGGCTCTGCCTTCTGTCTTCTTCTTGAATGCATTGCCGTGCAGCCTGGATTCAGAAGCTACCCAGTGCCCCTTTCCACTGTCCTACGTGCCCAAGAGTATGTCTGTAAACACAGATCGCATGAACTTCCCACAGCGAGTGAAGAACATGCTCATTGCTTTGTCAGAGAACTTTCTATGCAAAGTGGTCTATTCCCCCTATGAGCCGCTTGCCTCAGAAGTCTTACAAAAAGAGGTGACGGTCAAGGACCTTCTGAGTTCTGCATCTATCTGGCTGATGAGAAATGACTTTGTGAGAGATTATCCTAGGCCCATCATGCCCAATATGGTTTTTATTGGTGGTATAAACTGCCTTCAGAAAAAGCCCTTATCCCAGGTGTGTATGTGAGTGGGGCCTCTCCTTGCCCATGTTCTCTCCGGGAAAGGAACCTTCCATAGGTATGTGCTGAGCTCACTGAACATGCTGGGATGGTTTCAACTGGGATGGATGTTAACTTCTCTCCCCTAAGTCTCCCAGTTTTGAATTTGTCTATCTTTGGCATCCTCTTCTGACTTCCTTCTTTGTAGACAGTATTTTGGAAAACTATACCTTGGGCTTTTTGTTCTGTGGAATTCAGTTTAATGCAACTGACATTAACTGTCAAAAGAACCGTGCGTTTGGGGCGCTACTCAGAGAACACAGCTGTGTATTATGAAGCTTGCACTTGACTGGGGCACTGGATTCAGGCACTAGCATTTCAAGTCTGATGCAATTGTTCTTTAACCTTTATAACTCCTGGCAAGAGACACTGCCTTTATGGTCCTGGTTAAATAGAACTTCTTATAGGAAGTTAGTACCCGCAGCTTTTTGCCTCTTCTAATAGGACAAGGTGTCAGCCCTCTGTCTGAACGAGAGACGGTCTAGATGGGAGAAAACAATACACAGACCATAGTCATACATGTTGGGTCTGAAGTAAGTAGCCAATAAGGAGATCCTGGAGGCTAGGGATGTGAAGATAATGAAGAGACCAAACATATAAGCAGACCTGCTTCACGTACATGTCCTTGGCTCAAGTGAAAAGCTTCTGATCGGTAGTCTAAGTGGATCCTGGGAAGGCAAAACATGTTCATAGCTCAGAACCAAAGCCACAGGTCTCAGCAGATTATTAATGTTTAAAGGTCCCACCAGCTTGGGGGGGTTGTCCCCAGAGAAAAGGCTTTTTTTTTTCAGAGCATTTATCATGTTTAGAAGAAACAAGTCAGAGATCAAAGATTATTTCCAGTTAATATGTTGCCTCACTGTTTGGCTGTCTCAAGGACTGTGATATTGTGACAAAGTTTAGGGCATATTGTACCAAGTGGAGAGGACTCACCCTTGTTGAACCCACAGAAGTTGAGTCAGAGTGGGTCATTGACTATCTGGCCTCTGTGGCTTACTCTTTGGGCCTCTGTACACAAACTTGTGTGCCAGTTAAGCCTCAGTTAAAATCATACTATCTGACTGTGAATGTTTATGACCCTACAGATCTGATTTTGTGCTAATCACCTACTGGTGGCTGCTGAGTAGGCACGCAAAGGCATAAGGGAGGGCCAACTAGACTGTGCCTCTCCCGGCAGGATTGCACATGTCTTGAAGGAGCAAAGATTCTGGAATGTAGGTGAGCTACGCGCTACTATCAGGAGGCAGAAGGAAAGCAAAGGGCCCTAGGATGTGGGATGCCTGTCCCCAGGAGAGAAGGGCGAGGGGAAGAAAGAAAAAAAAATGTGATGGGATCCTAGAAAAGAACAGCTTCAGAGCAACCAACTCCAGGATGCTCTGGATCAAAATCCAGGACAGTGACAGAAGAGCCGGGTCTTTAGATTGTCCCAGTAAGTGAGACCAACGTGACAATGCTCTGACATCCATTGAACTGCAGGACCCTGACCTTCGGAGGGCTGGAAGAGGGCTGTGCCCCTGGGAAGACTGCACAGGGCATGGGATCCTGATATGTTCAGGATAGAGTTTAGTAGAAGCCTCTCTGTGTCTACACGTAGGGAGGGTCAGGACATGCTTTGCCCAGGAATATTTGGGGTTTAGAAATAAAAGCACCATGTTCCACACAGTCCCACAGCTGTGTGTAACTTGTTACATCATGCCATCACGTTGATGCTGTTCGCGCTCGTTGGAAACATCTGAATCCATCTGAGAGACTCTTGATGGTTAGCTAGATTACTAACTATGTACAGCGGGAGAGAACTGCCATGCCACTCAATGTCTGTTTTCTGTATAGGGCTATAGGTAGACATGTGTATATGGCCGTGTGTCATGTTCATGGGTGCACGGTCATGTGTATGTGCACTCCTGTATGTGCCTCTCTTTCTTTTATGGGAAATCAGCACCTTACCTGGATTCTGTATCTCCAGGGAACCCCACAGATAACCCTGTAAGTAAGAAATCCTCCTGAATTGACAGGGGACAAGGAGACAGAGTTACCGTGATGGTTTTTTGTCTATTACATACATACCTTTACTGATTCTCATAAGAGGGAAGTATCTTTCTTGTAGTCTAATATGTGCAGTTCCCATGGGATGTGAGAACAAAGAGATGAATTGGAAATTTCTTCTCCCACTCTAGGAATTCGAAGCCTATGTCAACGCTTCTGGAGAGCATGGCATCGTGATTTTCTCTCTGGGATCCATGGTCTCGGAGATTCCGGAGAAGAAAGCTATGGAAATCGCCGAGGCTTTGGGCAGAATTCCTCAGACGGTGAGATGGTTCTTCAAGACTCCTTTATGTCTCTGCTTTTAGTCTCTAACTCTAGACTTCAGTGTCTAAATGCAGGAATCTGAGTTGTGAAACTCCTCTGCCATTCCACAAAGTTATCATCATCATCATCATTATTATTATAGATTATTATTCTTCCAATTCATTCAGGTATTCCTATATCATGGTCTTCCTCACTCAGATTTCTTATTTTCTCTAGGAAACTCCCAAGTATTAGAGAGAATGTTGTTTAAAAAATTAGCATGATTTTTTTTCACATCAATGAAGAATGTTTCTCCGCAAAACTATTTTGTTTTGTTTGTTCCTGCTTGGAGAGTTTTTGCATCCGCTTGCCTTGTTAAGAAAGTTTCCCTTTGAAGTGCGGAAACATGAAGGAATTCTGAGGGAGGCCTGATGGCTTCTCACACTCAGGTGGCCAAGTTTTAGCATCAAGATCCAGTGTTGCTCTTGAGCTCTGGGGACTTCCAATTCACCAAACCTCCCATCATGCAAAGCCCATCCGGGTTCTTCTTACTCATAGGACTGGCCTTTCTAGCTAGGCTAGCGATTTAAAAATCAAATTGTGTTCTTTTATTGAGCCTGTGCTTTTTGTCTCTACTAGGTCCTCTGGCGCTACACTGGACCTAGACCATCGAATCTTGCGAAGAACACAATACTTGTAAAATGGCTACCCCAGAATGATTTGCTTGGTAAGTTGGGAGCATCTGACATGTAGGTCAAACCAGGGTTAAATTAAGGAAATGATAGACTTTAATGTTCTAAATGATTGCTTAGCTTAATGGTGACTGAGACACATCACATACATCAACCCACACCCACCCACTCCCAGAGTTTTTACAATGGCCATGCGTACATAATGATCCTTCTGGGCTTTTCAGAATTTAGACATTGTCAGGCTGAAGAACCTGTTGTCCCTCTTTGCTGTGCTTCTCAGGTCATCCAAAGACGCGTGCGTTCATCACACACTCTGGTTCCCATGGTATTTATGAAGGGATATGCAATGGCGTGCCAATGGTGATGATGCCCTTGTTTGGCGACCAGATGGACAATGCCAAGCGCATGGAAACTCGAGGGGCTGGGGTGTCCCTGAATGTTCTCGAAATGACTGCTGATGATTTGGAAAACGCTCTAAAAGCAGTCATCAATGACAAGAGGTAAGTTAGAGGAAAAGAAAAACAATCAGCATGCTTGTGTTCGTGTCTACAGCATTTGCAATCAGCAAAATAGCACAGCAACAAATACATAAAAATCTGGATTCGTACACAAGATAAAGTGGGCATTATTCCTACTTGTAAAGGACTTTATATGAATTTGTTAAATTTTTTAGTTTCCCTAGATTTACAATCTTCAATTAAAAATAATGTCACCATAATAGGTATCTCATCTCTAAGATCCTGTAAAGAGCGAAATATTCCATTTAAAGGTGCATAGGGGTGGAGCTGGAGAGATGGCTTCATAGGCAAGGGCACTTGCTGTGTAAGCCTGAGGAATGAGTTCAAATCCCAGCACTTATACTTATGTGAAAAGCCAGGCCTCAGCATCGTGGAAGCGGGAGACAGGAGAATTGCTGGGCTTGCTGGCCACTAGCCTAACTCCAGATCCAGTGAGACACTTTGTCTCAAAGAAATGAAGTGGACGATGACAGAACAAAACATTGTCTTATGGCCTATGAGTGACTATATAAACATGTGTGTGCATGCGCACACATTCACACACACGCACGCACACACACATACACCACATACACGTGCACACTGTGAGATCACTTTGTCTCTACTTGAAACTTAGTGTATTGCTTTCAAGGTTGCTGGAACTATTTTACTTAAAACCTATGGCAAGATGAACATGGTGACAGACACTTGTAATCTAAGCACTTGGAGACAGAGACAGGAGGATTGTGATGAGTTCAAGAAGAGTTCAAGGCTATATAGCCAGTTCCAAGCTGGCTGAGGCTGTGTAGCAAGATTCTGTCTTAAGACAAAACCAACCAAGCAAACAATAACAAAAACCCCAAGCAAAAATTTAAAAGGCAGGGAGGTGGCACAATGGTGCAGCAGTTAAGAAGGGCACTTGCTGATCTTCTAGAGGACCTGAGTTTGTTTCCCAGCTCTAGGGGGAACCCCATGCCTCCTAGTGGCCTCCATGGGCTCTGCACTCATGTGTATATACCCACTCAGAGACAGACATATTAACACAATTAAAAATAAAATTAAATCTTAAAAGCAATACCACAAAGTTTGTAAGAAGAAATGATGGCCAGTGTGTGTGCAGCGTGTGTGCATACTTACGGGAATATCTATGTAAGAGAGCTTCAGGCACGTTGCTCTGGTCTGCTTTCTGTTGCAATAACAGAATACCCAGAATCACACCATCTATGAAGGGTTAAAGTTTATTTAGCTCAGAGTCTGAGAAGTTGTGGGAAGTCTAGAGTGGGGCAGCTACATCAGATAAGGGTCTCCTGCTACCTATGTATCCTCCATGGTAGACACCTGATGTTGCCAAGGATGCAAAAGACGAAACATAAGCGGCACCCTTGCTTGATCACAGCCCGCTCTCAGTGACAGAGTCCAGCTCTGGAACAAAGGCCATCCTCTCTCTCAATGACTTCTCACTTCCTCATGGTTCTACCACCTCTCTGTACCTTTGCACTGGGGACCAAAGTTCCTACACAAGAGCCTGTGGGCAGCGCATTCAAACCACGCTACTTCTTCATCTGCAACTGATTCCTTTTTTGATGTTTTTACTTCATTTTACCATAATGACGATATAATATAATTTCCTACTAAGAAATCACTAAAAGGCAAAAAATTGAAAACAAAGTTTAAATATCTATAAAATAACTTTATTTTTCGTTTTTGCTTTTTTTCCTCCCTACCCTCTCCTTTCTTTCCTCCCCTTCTGTCTGCATTTCACCATCTATCCCTCCTCCTCCTTGTTAGAGATAAAGAATATCGATTAAGTGTGTGTTGGGGGTGTGCTGTTCTGGTTATAACAGGGATGTGCTTCTCGTCCTAACTGGAGCCAAGCCTAGGGGGATGGTCTCCGTTACGAGGGTGTTCCAAGACTAACAACCGCTTTGTGTTCAGTTACAAGGAGAACATCATGCGGCTCTCCAGACTTCACAAGGACCGTCCCATAGAGCCTCTGGACCTGGCTGTGTTCTGGGTGGAGTACGTGATGAGGAACAAGGGGGCGCCACACCTGCGTCCGGCTGCCCATGACCTCACCTGGTACCAGTACCACTCCTTGGATGTGATTGGCTTCCTCCTGGCCATCGTGTTGACAGTCGTCTTCATTGTCTTTAAATGTTGTTCCTATGGCTTCCGGAAATGCTTTGGGAAAAAGCAGGGAGTTAAGAAGTCACACAAATCCAAGACCCATTGAGAAGTGGGTGGGAAGTGAAGGGGAGGTATCAGTCCATTCTTCAATCAGTTTGACACTTGAAAACAGAATCAGTGTTAAATTTATTTTGCTTTTATTAGGGAAGTAATCAGCCATACATCTCACACTCAGAACAATTATTTTTTTAAATAAAGCCAATCTAATTGCTGACCACAGCCATCAGGGAAGCTATGGGCAATACTTGCCATCTCCTTGGGAAAGAATGGCACTCTGTAGTCAATTTGACAGCCCCACAGTCGTTCCATGTCCTGTCATATCATCACTGCGCCCCCCGCTTCCCCCCCACTTCAGCTGATAGAGTCCTCACCTGGATCCTCGGACTGTTGTGGCCTCCTCCAGCGCTCGCCATTCCTTGTCGTGCTCGTATGTTGTGGGGGACGCAGCCTTCGTAGCTCTGGGGGAGGGGTGATGCTGTGAGACTGTGTCGGAGATGATAATCATTGCTATTGCTTGTGTGAAGCAGATCTGGAGTTGATGAAAGCGAAAGGATATTAGGCAAGTACAGCTTCTGTAGTGTTTCCCAAACCGAGAATTTACTAATAAACTCAGACAAATTGTGTTTATTATTTCTCCATTGGTGTTATATTTATTCATTGTCAAATACCCTCTGATTGTAAAAGCGCTACATGACAGTGACACCGAATTTGAAAACCGAAGAGATTCACACATGTGTCCCTGCACACAAGAGGAGGATCACCTGTAGTTACAGTGCTCATTAATGCAGCCGCAGTTAATGCTGTTAGGGCGGATGAACCACTGTTGCTGTGTTGTGTGGTCTTCTGATTACATTCTGATGTTCCAAGACTGACAATAAAGTTTGTTTTGAATCAGAGGACAGAACTAGCTACTAGCTGACCAAAATTAGCCATAGAGGTTCTGGAGGACTGAAGACAGACAGACATAGGGCAGGGCTAAGAGAGGCTCTGTCTCAGCCCCTTTCAGGTGGAGGAATGAAGAGATGGGAGGTCACTGGTCACTTTGCCGCTGCTTCACTGATCATTCAGGTTCTTACCCTGCTATCTGGTTCCTGAGTTTTTAATCGATAAAGAATAATTAGATAAACATGTAATTACTGCCATAGTTTTGATTCTGAATCTTCCAAAGATGTATTTGCTGATGGCTGAGTCCTAGGCCTATGGCACTGCTGAGAAGTTGTGGAACCGTTAAGAGGATGATCCTGTGGGAGGAAGTTAGGTTCTGGGGGTGTTCCTTTGAAGGGATGTTCGCATGTAGGCCCTTTGCTCTCTCTTTGTTCTCTCCCTCACATGGAACAAGAAGCTTCTGGAACACTCTCCCTGGGTGTTCTCCTGTCCCACACAAGTTCCAAAGCAACATGGCCACATGACCAGGGATGAAAACATCTATAGCTAACGCCAAATAAGCCTTTTCTCATGAGCTGCTACATCGTAGGTATTTGTTACCATAACAGAAAACTTATTAACATGGGTATTGTTTTGACAGATACACACAAAAGATTTCAGGTACACTAGATATTCTGCATTGGTCAGTTTTGCAATGGTGTAATGAAACACCCAGGTCAAGTAATTTATTAAGAGAAGAAGGTTATTTAACTTACAGTCTTAGAGGTTCATAGGTGATCCTTCATTGGCACAGTTTGGTGAGGTTAGCAGAAGGTGTCATGTCATAGCAGGAGCATATATACATGAATAACCAGGAATTATATTTGGTGTCTGAGTTTCTGTCCTGCCTGGTTCCCACAGTCATTAAGTCCCAAAGAAATCACACAGAGGTCTACATTAGTTATAAACTGATGGACCCATTAGTTCAGGAGGTTTCTTATTACCTCTTACAACTTATATTAGCCTATTATTCTTCTCTGTGTTAGCCACATGGCTCAATACCTTTTTTAGCGAGACAGTCACATCTTGCTTCTTCTGTAGCAGGGTCACAACTGCAGAGGAATGGGCTTCCTCCTTCCCAGAATTCTCCTGTTCTCACTGACCCTCCTCTACTTCCTGTCTGGTTGTCCCACCTATACTTCCTGCCTGGCTACTGGCCAATCAGCATTTATTTAAAATATAACTGACAGAATACAGACCATTCTCCGACACCGTATATTTTGAACCAGGAATGGAGGTGGAGTCTGAAATATCACAGTTCTCTTTGAGGAAAAATTCCCCAATGACTTAAAGACTTCCTAATAGGGCCTACCTGCAAAAGGTTCCCCTGTTTCTCAATAGCAGGCATTTTACAGGCATTCAAGTTATATATTCTGACTCTGGTTCCAAGTTCATGGCCATTTCACAATTTAAAAAGATGGATTAATGTGGGGCCTTAATCTCAAGAGGCAGAGGCAAAGGCAGGCAAATCTCTGAGTTCAAGGTCAGCTTGGTCCACAGAGCAAGTTCCAAGATAGTCAGGGCAGAGAAACCTTGTCTGGAAAAAAATGATAATAATAGATTAGTTCCCTGTCTAAAGATAGTCTCAAAGTCAACTGTTCTAGCACAGGTTGGAAGCCCAAATCTAAGGCCTCCACAAGACTCAGGACAGTTAGTTGAGAGCCTCAGTAAAAGAGACAACAACAACAACAAAAAAATAAACCCAAAAACTAAAACAAAATCAAAAACCAAACCACATACAGTGGAGGCCAGGCTTAAAGCAAACATCCCTTATTCTGAAAAGGAGTCATGGAGAATTAAAAAAAGAAAACCATCATCCCTAAAACAAGATAAAAGGAAACATCAATAAAACACCAAAGATCTTTGTTATCAGGGGCACACTGTGGTGGGATGTGGGCCCGCAAAGAACATGGCCATTTCTACTTTTATGGTTTCAGAAGTTGTCTCCCACATATCTACTCTCTCAAACTGTTTTTCACACTTCCTGGGCCTTTTTCTTCACAGTGTGGTGTAGCAAGGAGGTCACTTGTTGGTTCCCGGCTACCTGGCTAGCTTAGACCCAAAATAAGCACACAGAAACTGTATTAATTACATGCTTGGCCCATTAGCTCTAGCTTCTTACTGGATAACTCTTATATTAATTTAACCTTTTTCTATTAATCTGTATATCACCATGTGGCTGTGGCTTACCAGGTGAAGTTCTCAGTGTCTGCCTCTGGCGGCTCCATGGCTTCTCTCTGACTCTGCCCTTCTTTCTCTCAGCATTCAGTACACTCAGCCTTGCCCTGCTATAGGTCCAAAGCAGTTTCTTTATTCATTAATAGTAATCACAGCATACAGAGGGAAATCCCACATCACCTCCCCTTTTCTGTTTAAATAAAAAGGAAGGTTTTAACATTAGCATAGTAAAATTACATATAACAAAACAGTTATCAAGCAAGAATTACAGTTACAATATTTATATCTACTTCATCTTTTATCATAACTAAGGAAAGATATAATAATAACTATCTAGTTTTCAATTCCATCAAAGACTCCAGAAGGATATAAAATATTACCAAGTAAGGAGGAAGTGCATTGTAAGCAACTTTCAAAACTCGAGAATTGACAGAGACATCTTACTGCCTCGACAGTCACCCAAAGTTCTTCTGTACCATTGGGGCATCCATCTTCAGCCTAATGGCCCATAGTATCCAGCAGAATTTTCCATGAAGAAGGAAATTTCAGTCACTTTCTTCTGTATTCTGCCAAATGTCTAGCAGACTCTTTCATGAAGCAGGAACCCTGAAGATTGTCTTACTTTTAAGCAAGTTCAGTGGTCATTTCTCTGTGGGTCCTGCATGTATAGTTCATCAGGCAGTCCAGGCAAGAACAGTTTCTTGACCAAATGGCTAACCAGCTCTATAAGGAGCCTTTTCAATGCTCATCTTCCTCTTGAAGCTATTGGTGCTGCCAGGAGTAGATGCTCATGAAAAGTCCCAAGTTCTTAAAACATTTTAAATGCCATATTCTGTAGTCTTTGAAAGGTTTGAAGAATGCCTATCTTCTGAAATATATCTCTGTACATCTGGAAAATCCAACATGACTACAAGCTTGACTATTAAAGATGACTATCTATTAACCAGTATTTCTTAATTATACATTACATTTTAAATGAACTACATAATCACAATACCTTAATCAAGATCAGAAATATACATATAACAAGATTGACCTTAAATTTGTATCAACAAACCATGATTTATGCCAATGCAAATCTCTATAACATATCCTCCTTTAAATGTAAACAAACATTTATAGACAATATTTGGTAACATAGGCATAGTTTTGTCCAAACTTCTTCCTACTGTTTGTTGGACGAAATAATTTTTGAAGGGTGTTCAAGGAGAACTTTCAGGGGCTCTTGGCCCATCAAACCATATTAGTCTGGAATGATTCCACAGGTTCTCATCCTCTGTGGAAACAAAAAAGAACCTCTTTTCCAAAGCAACATATCCTTAGACCCAAATTCTGAAGTCAAGATACCTTTTTAATATACATGCTGGTTTAGCTTAGCAACCCATACAATGAAATATCTCTCTGTACTAAGCTCTTTCATGGTCAAAAAAAAATTCAAAGAAAACAAATAATATACATAATCAAGACTCCCTGTGCATTTTCCATATTTATGTGGCTTATTTTTCTTTACTTCTTTTAATCTATGACTGTCTGTACTATCTCTTTAAAGACTTTACCCCTTTTTAACTATTTACTTCTTTTTCTTCTCTCTCCCAAGCCTACGTATATTTATCCAACACAGTGACCCATTTAGAGGTCTTTTATCTCCTAATCTGTCATAATGTTTATCTGTAATTCTTTACTGTCCAGGATCGCTTCTTAAAATGCTAAGTGCTTCTTAAAAACTTAAACTGTGCCATTACTAGGGTATATACAATACTTCCTACTTGCCCCACCCAGCCCAGCATGGCAGAGCTGCTTGCACATCTGAGCCACACACCACCCCACTTCCAGGCACACAGCCAGTCCACATTGCCACCAAGCAAGCCTCAGTATGCTGCTCACAAACCCCATCCAAATGCTCGGTTCCTCGAAAGAATCAGAGTTCATGCTAGCAGCATGGCCCATGGCTGGGAAGCTGCCATTTTGAAAATGTGTGGCTCTTACTGTTGAATCAGTAAGACCTCTCTTAAAGGAGCCATGCCTCTGCTTGCTTTAGCAAATAGAGCCCACCCAAGAAAATGCCGCTACCAAACCATGCTTAACTCTGTTCTTTTGTGTCTAGGATTACTTTTTAAGCTTTTTTAGGTTTTTATGTGGATGTAGTTACCCATGTTGGTGCACCAATCTGTAGTAAGAAGGTCGCTTGTTGGTTCCCAGCTTCCCAACTAGCTTAGACCCTAAATAACCACACAGAAACTTTATTAATTAAACCACTACTTAGCCCATTAGCTCTAGCTTCTTATTGGCTAACTCTATATTAAGTTAACCAATTTCTATTAATCTGTCTATTGTCACGTGGCTGTGGCTTACTGGGTAAAGTTCCCAGCATCTGTTTCCAGCGGCTCCGTGGCTTCTCTCTCCCAGCATTCAGTCCAGTCCTTCCTGCCTAGCTCTGCTCCACCCTGCCCTGCTATAGGTCCAAAGAAGTTTCTTTATTCATTAATGGTAATCATCGCATACAGGGGGAAATCCCACATCAGTGT